CAAGGGTTCCCCAGCGGCCCCAAACCGACCCCCAGGGGTGTCCCGGGGGCGGCGGTCTGTGGCCTGTGCTCTGGGACTAAACCAGGGCTAAGGCCCCAAGCCAAGAGTGGGATGGGCTGCCCTCCCCGCCGGTCACACGCCTGTGGAGCAAGAGAAGAGCTCCCGTGGTCTGGCCGAACAAGAGCCAGTTGTGTAGCCAAATGCCACAGGCCATGGAGAGCCCAAGTGCGAAAAGCCACACCCAGTGACAAGGAGCAGGGATGGTGGCTGAGAGTGGGGTAAGTGGCAGGGATGAGGAAAAGTCAACCTTCGCCAAGCAGGGAGCCCTGATCCACCTCCTCACAAAGATGCAGGGACTCCGGGGAAGAGCTGGGCATCTCGTGGTCAGTCTTAGATGGGCCGAGGGATGGGGAATCTTCCAGGGGTTCTGCGTCCCCAGCAAAACCCAAATGCTGGACCGAAGAAGCAAGACTCCTCCACTCCCCCTTGGGCCACAGCTGGCTGTACTTGGGAGCCCCAAGGCCAAAAGCTCACACCTCGGCCACAGCTCCCTGATGCCCACATCCTGGGATTGTGGCACGCCACAACTTCTGGCAATATGCATGACGTAACAATGGCCATTTTGTGAGGGTGCCCAGAGCACCCACCAAATACCAGCGTGAAAGGTTGCTTTCCTCTGTTGAATTCAAAGATCAATGTGGTAATTGGTAACTGGCAAGAGAAAGACCATTATTCCTTCTCTTGGACAGACTTTTGGGGGAAGAAATGAAACCAACAAGCATAAAAAAGTTGAAATGTTAACCCAAAGTTCCCTGATCTGGCAACCTCAGTTGGGGATCAAAGGAGCTGTAGCCCAACATATCTGGCTAGTATCGGGCTGGGGACAATCTTTGTTCCCCCCCGCCACCCAGCATGCAATTTATACTTAAATAAAATTGTCTGGAATATGATCTGCCATTCATAATGAAATAATTTAGAAGTTCTTATGAACAGCCTGATCTCGACTCTGTAAAAGCAAAGCAACAATCTTTCGCCGTTTGCTGGGACCAGTGACCTCAATTCGCTTTTACACCTCGTGCACCTGATCCAGACAGACAGAGGCCTGCTGGAGCCGTCGGTGGAATCCGTCCTCTGTCCCGCTGTTGTCCCTGCTCTGAGCGCAGCTTCGCAGCAGCCACGACTGCTGGAGCTTGTCGGCAGACAGGACAGCCGCGGAGCTCTGGAGCAGCGCTCCAGGTGACGAGCCAGCCCTGGAGAAGGCTCTCCCTCTCCTGGGCTTCTCTGCTCCGAGCTCTGTCCACACAGCAAGCCGCGGGTTAGAAGACTTCCCCACCCCACACCCTCCCCTGGAGGTGCTGGGAGTGCATCTTCCAGGATTCCCAGCCTATTTAGTCACATGGGTGGGGAATTCTGGGAGCTTCCGATCTGGAGGGCCCTGGGCCACAGGCAAACAGGCTCACCTTCTGGCCGCGCCAAGCCCAAGCAAGGCAGAGAATGCACCTGTTGCAGCAGCAGCAGCAGCAGCGCCCAGACCCCCACCGGCGGCTAACAGACCGGAGTGCCGGGAATTCAAGTTAGGAAGCTGAGCTTGTTCTCCCAAGAGCAAAGCACACAGACCCGTCCAGTTTCCAGACTGCTCAACCATGCGCTGTGCTGATGGCAGTCCCTGGGCGGAGAAGGGGAAGGGGGCTCTCTCACATTGGGAGCTTAATTTTCCACCCGGTGCCAGTCAGTGGACTGTGAGATTCCAGTAAGAAGCTAAGCGGCCTGAAGTCTGCCCTGCGCAGCTCTAGCTCTCCAGGAGTCCAAAATAACGTTTAGCTTCTGTGCGCAAAGCAGGTGAGCAGCCAAGCCAGGGAAGAGACAGGGCCATTCTCTTGCCCTTCACGCAGCAGCATCGAGGGAAAGGAACTGGAAATTGAAATACTCAGGGGCTGAGGGCCAGCCTCGGCACCTCTTCCCTTGCTCTCTCGCACTACCAGCAAAGACGAGTATTTTCTGCATCCGGGGAACCCACATCGCAGACTCAGCCCAGAAGTCCCCAAGATGTCATTCACGCTCTCCCGCTCCATGCCAGCGGCAAAGGCCAGAAGCCAGGAGGCCGAGGCGCCTGCCAGGCTCAGCTGGGGCGGCTCCGCTGAGACGATCTGGACTGTGAAGGGCTTCCCACTGAGGAAGAGCCGAACTCACGGCTGCGATTAACCCCCGCCTGGCTTCCCAGCTGCAAGTCTCGCTCGGCTTCAGACTCAGAGATGGACACACACAACTCCCTGCCAGAGGAAACATCTGGCCTGTGGTGGAGGGAACCCCCGGACCCCACTCTGGGAGGAAATGCTGTGTTCCCTCCCCATTTTTGGACAGCAGAGATGCTGGCAGCTGCCACTCTTCACTCCCCCAACATGGCGCTTTAATCAAACTGAGGCTGCGGGAGCTACAAGCGCCCAGCCCGGCCTTCTTCCCTCTGGTGCCCCCTGCCCGGCCCCCCGCGCTCCTTCTTGCAGGGAGGGAGCGCAGCCTGGCTGCCCCAGCAGGGTGGGTGCCAAACGCGCAAAGCCTGGGAGGCCGATCTCTCCTCCCCAAGAGAAGCAGAGGAGGCGGGGCCCCCCGACCACCGGGGCCCGTCTGGGGGTGGATGCAGCAGCAGCAGCAGCAGCAGCAGCAGCAGCA